TCCATAACTCTCCCCTTTTTTTTTTTGGTTTTCATTCAATGTTCGATACCTACATTGAAGCCCAACTAAATTTAAATTTGCATCCAAAAATTTCATTTTAGGGATAAAGCGCTTCCTAACAAACCCGAGACCTGGCTATTCTATCTCTCCTTGTTGAGTCTTAACAATTGCATCTTTCTTTGAAAAATACATTTTTAGAAGTTTTATTCCTTCTTAATCCTTAGAAAAACACACATTCAATTTCCAATACCACTACTCTATTTTATTTAGGAAAAGGATATGTACCCCCCTCAACATAAGGTTTTGGACAAGAATATGAGAATTTTAGGCTGTGGGTAATTATGGCTTACAGGCTACACCTAAGAGCAGATTCAACAATATTACATGGGCTCTTTGTACTATTTTATGTAGGTTCAGTTTGCTAGATTGTCCCATATTGGTTGAAGCAATCAATTATTGTCTCTATTCTAGTCATCCACAACTTTTATATGATATCATGAAAGCCACGTATGTACACCATCTATATATATACTCAAAATATTTAGAGCCGAGAAAATGACTTTCGTAATTGAGTTAGGATCAAAATTCATTTTTTTCTCGTAACATAACATGTAAACATACCACATGTAGCACATTCCTTTTCCATCTACGGTAAAGTTGTATTGGTGATGAGGGCTGGAAGTGTGGAGGGTCCTAGGTATCCTTTCTTGCTTGCTTTAATTTGGTTGATTTAAAAGAATAGAACAACAAGGTACTTCTAGTATTCATTATTACTTGTACATGCCAGCCCATCTTTCAAAGTTCTATCACTGTCACTATTTCCTCAAATTATAATTACCTTATCCCTTTGAGTTGAATTATAGGTGAACTACTTCATATATTTTTTCTATGATACTTGCATATCAATTTAATTTTATACTTCTCATTTTCGTAAGAATATGAATAAGACCAACCACCAATACATGCAACTCTTAAATATATACTTTTTAATGAACGGTATTATACATAAACATGACCTTTAATTTGGCTTCAGCGGACAACGCCCTCCAACTTTGATTATACACAAGTAGATATTTAAACTTGTATAAAATTGAACAAGTAGACAAATGTGTCCTACATGACATAACACACGTAGGACGCTACATAGGACACAAAAATTGTCATGTAGGATGTCATGTAGGACGAATGTGTCTATTTGTTCAATTTTATACAAGTTTAAGTGTCTATTTGTGCACATGCACCTAAAATTAAAGGTCATAGTTGTCAACTAACGTTAAATTAAGGGTCATGTTTATATATTATATATACTGCCTTAATGAACTATGCATGAACAAAATTTAATTATTCAACATCCCCATTAAATTTGATTCATCTCTACAAGAGTCATCTTTAGCTTCAAAAAATATTAATCTTCAATGACTTAATGAAAATATACACAACTTGGTATTGAGATTCCATGAACTGATTTCTTGGATATGCAACCTCTAATATAATGAAAGTATATATCCATATACTTGCTCCTTTCATGAAATACCGGATTCACAATTTCCTTAAGTCACAATTGGTTGCGTCTAAATCTTTTATGTAAATGCGAAATTTGCCAGAAAGAAAACAAAAGGTGTCCCTTAATAATCCTTGAAGATATATGAAACTTGTTGGTAAATCGAATTATCTCATTGTGACTAGACATGCCATTTCTCCTCCTGAGTGTCGTGTGTTAGTTTATCTATTCTACTTGTGATAGTCATTGGGATGTTGTTGTCCGCATTCTATGATATAAGTCATTGACCAAATGACTACTTTTCGAGGATTGAAGCTATAAGTAGATCTTTGGATATACCGATGTTGATTGGCATAATCATTTCTGACAGATGTTCTACATCTGAATTTTGTGTTTTATTAAAAGGTAATTTGTGAGATATTTTGGATCAAATAGTTGGTAGAAAATTTAAAATTTGGACATATCAATTAGATGAAACTTGTGTTTAATAATCAAGAGGCCCTTTATATATATTGCCTCATTTTATATTTCAATGCCCTTCAACTTTGGTTCTGCACAAGTAGACACTCAAATGTGTATAAAGTTGAATAAGTAGACACATGAGTTCTACGTGGCATAAAACACGTATGACACCACGTAGGATGCAAATTGCCACGTATGATGCCATGTAGGATGTGTGTGTCTATTTGTATAATTTTATATACAAGTTTAAGTGTCTACTTGTACAACTTGAAATTTTTTCTGTATAAATGTAGATGATTTATAAGATTTTACTATTGTTTATTGTCTTTTCAATTTTAAAAGTAGATGATCTATCTTTTTTAATTGAAAATTGACGTTTTGTAAGTGATCACTTTATTAAGATGACAATTATTTATCCTCAAATAATTCAAGTGAGAAAATAGCTAACTTGACAATAAAATTGTTCTTCTCAAAGCTAGTTAGAAGACCATAAAAAAAAATATTGTCCTGCAATTATCTACCTTGACTCAATTACATAATAATTTAAGGGGTCGTTTGGTGTGAGGGATAATACAAATAGTCCCGGAATTAAATTATAGTACCGCTTATTTTGTTGTTTGGTTGGCAAGTTCGGGATAACTTATCCCGGGATTAATAATTAGTACCGGGATAAGTTATCCCTCTCCTTGGATGGTATAGTAATCCCGGTATAACTTATCCCGGGATAAAATAGGTAAATGACAAAAATGTCTCTTTCAACTCTTTTGTTATATCACTTTTTACATTAATGAAGGGCATTTTTGTAAATAAATAAATTGTTCTTAAAATTTATTATTTTGAATACAACAAACCAAACACTCAATAAAAAATAATCCCAACACAACTTATCCCATCATAACTTATCCAACATAACTTATCCCATCATAACTCATTTTCAAACCAAACGACCCCTAAGGGTATAATTGAAAAGAAGTTTTTTATAAAGTTTCAATCCAAACACAAGATGAGGTGGGAAGGAATGAACCAAACAGTTGATAATAAACCCTTCATTACTAATTCCTGTCGTATTAATCTTTGTACAAAACAACCCATAAGTGTATTTATTTTCTTATTTTATACCTAGTAATGGGTTTGAATAGATTTGGATGATTAAGAACTATGACAAAGTCTTAATATCATTAAGCTATCTATTTTTAAATTTCTATCACTACTCCATCAACTTTCGCAGCTAATTAATCTAATCATTGTTGTCACCCACCATTATGAACTAGCAACCACCATTTTCAATCAGAGCATACCACCGCTAATCACCACATATCATTATCACCATTTACAATAATCACTATTAACTATCATTACAATCACTTATTACTACAAAAAAAAACGCTATATATCATCAAGCTTGTCATCATTCACCACAAGTAGGAGTGGCAAACGAGCGAGTTGAGTCGATCAAAAAACAAGTTAAATAAAAATGGATAAGTTATTCGACTCGACTCAGATTTTAAATGGGTAAAAACGAGTTACCCAATGGATAATATGAGTAACCATATTTACCCATATTATAATAGAAATCTTGTTAAAAGCTTTAAAAACAAAAAAAAATTTAAGTTTTTTTTATACCTTCACTCCACCCCCTACGAGCCCCCCTAGCCCCCAATCCCAAAAAAAAAAAAAAAATTACCACCCCACCCCCTACCAGCCCCCCCTCCACACCCCATCCAAAAAACAAATTAACAAAATTTTAAATTTTTTCATTAAAATTTCTTTAATTGCCCCCCACCCCCCTATCCCAAAAAAATGTAAAAAAAAGTTTCATTTAAAAAAAAAAAAAAGACTTTCTTACTACCCCACCCTTTATCACTTTTTTTTTTATTCGTGTGAATGCATATCTTTTACCTATTTTATCCATTTAACTATCCACTTTTAAATGGATAATATGGGCATTATTCAATTTTACCCATTTTTAAATGAGTTGAATACTCAACCCATTTAAAATGGATAAATATGAACGAATACCCATATTAATTACCCATTTTGTCACCCCTAACCACAAGTAATATCTATTTTTAATGAAAACAAGGCTCAAAAGTCTCAAGTTTTATTCATAAAAACACGGATAAGTATTTATTATACCACTATTAGGTATCTCTAATATCTATTAGAATTACCAGGTGCCGCCACCAATAACCGCCATTAATCATTACTATAGACTACCATCACCACTAAGCTCTATCCACAGACCATGATATATCACCGATAAAACAAACCATGATATATCACTATTTAATTTTATTTTTTTGTTGAAATAATATTAAATTTGTATCAAATTTTATTTGGATCTTGTATTTTTAAACTTTTAAATAAAAATAAATTTTGGGAGTTTTTCAAAATATACGGACAACATAAAATTAAGTCACATGACCCAATATATAATATTAGGGATAAGACACAAGTACCTCTTAGACTATGATCGAAATCACAGAGACACATCTTAACTAAACTAAGGTTCTATTATCCCTTGAACTCATTTTTTTTTGTAATTTTGTACACCTTTTGGCTTACGTGGCACACTCCATGACTCCACGTAAGCCAAAAAGGTCTACAAAATTACAAAACAAATTGGTTCAGTGGGGTAATAGGACCTTATAAGTTTAGTTAAGGTGTGTCTCAGCGATTTCAGTCATAGTCTAGGGGTACTTATACCTTATCCCTATAATATTATAGACATTATACAATATCATACTTGAGAAAGTATTATACATAATATTGTAATCTTGTATAAAAGTGTACAATAATATATAAAAAGTGTTTAAACACAAATATGAGCTAAATTCTCAAAAGAGGAACTACATGGCATACATTATTTCTCCCCATAAACATGGAATGTATAGAAAAATAAATAATTTTAATTATCTAATATATATAACATCCATTAATTACACCTGCTACCTAGTTCAATACATCTTTCATGTTTGGGACGTGTTTTACCTTACAGAAGTCTTAATAATTACTTTATCTTCTTGGAATAATTCAGCATGCAAAAGACAATTGACAGATATTGTCAATATACAAAAGAAACGTTGATCAACATTAACACTTTTGAAGTGGAACAACACATGGAGGTCAGATCTCTTAATTAATTATAATTATCATTACATATTGATACAAAAATATTGAAATTGACATGGTTTATTTCATTCCTTCTTTAACTAGAGAATTTCCTTTCCTGAAAGTATGTCACAAAATTGGATTCCTCACACTTGATGGTTGTGTAGTTTGTATATATCTACTTCCAAATTAAGGTTGTAGATCTTGATGGAAAACTAGTAAAGTAGTTGGTGAACATTTGTACATGTTAAAGAATGACAAAAGTCCCACATTGGTGGTTAGTGAGATAGATGGACTCCTTATAAGGCTTGAACAATCCTCCTCCCTTTGAGCTAGCTTTTGGGGTATGAGTTAGGTTCAAGACCTAATTTCACGTGGTATCAGAGCAGGACCCATCTCATCCGATGTTGGGGGCCAAAAAAAAATCAAAAATTGCCCAAAAAATGTCCACACACCAGATACTAAGCACTGGGCGTGAGGTGGGTCAAAAAACTATCCAAAATTGCCAACGCACCAGATGCTAAGCAATGGGCATGAGGTGGGGTATTAAAGCAAAAAGTCCACATTGGTGGTTAATGAGATGGGTAGATTCCTTATAAGGTTTGAACAATTCTCCTCCCTTTGAGCTAGCTTTTGGAGTGTGAGTTAGGCATAAGACCTAATTTAACAGTACATGATTAGTTAGTAGTTAGTTATTTAGTCAACCAATTAGAGAATGACACATGGATAGTAAATTGTAGACATGGTCAGTTAGAGAAGATCTTTTGTACTCATTTTTCAATCTGAAGAATTCAATACATACAATATTTCTTCTCAAGCTTGAATAAGCTAAGTTCAGCATGGTAACCTAGTAGCTAGCTCAATACTCTTTTATAAAGTTTTTGCATGTTTCAAGACCTTTTCAGTGGCAAAATAAAGGGTATTAATAAAAATATAAGGGTGACCTGTACATCCTCAATCCTTCAACACATGTGCTATTTCTTCTTCCAAGTGCATGTCTAGTAAAGTTTTCACACCACAATCACATTAATGACATTAAAGACAAGGACATACTCACATATCTGTGTTGCTTAAGATTTCTGTAAAAACTAATCTATTGTCTAATACTTTTCATCTTAATTGTCATATTTTTCCATTAGCAATGAGACTAGCTACCATTTTTTGTTAGTACTTTCAAATATACTACTATGTTTGATCTTGTCTTTGTATATGTTTCGGCTTTTAAATGGTCATCACTTATAATGGATTCAGATACTTTCCACTCTTTTTGATGAATCTTTTAGTATGACTTAGACTTTGTTGTTGGGACTTAAGAGTGATGTATATGTTGTATTAAAAGATTTTCTTCTCCTTATTGAAAATCAATTCTCCATCACTATTAAAACCTTGAAATCAGACAATGAATATGAATTCTTAATAACCGTCGTTCTTGTTTAGATATCATTCACCAAAGCACATGTGTGACACACTCCACAAGAAAATGAAATTGTAGAAAGAAAACACAAATACTTTTTGAAAATAGCAAGAACTCTTAGATCTCAAGTCAATTAACAGGGGCGGCTGGTAAGGTATAAAATAAAGTCCTTAGCCTTAGGCCCTCAATAAATTGGGGCCCCCATTTTTAGTTAATTAGGTAGGATTAAACTAAAAAAAAAAATTAGAACTAAGACAACAAATGCAAACGGCATTAATAAAGTGATAAATATGACAATTACTTTTTCCCTTTCCAATAAAAAGTTGTCTACTTTTTTTTTAATGTACAAGTTATATTTATTTTTTACCTTATTCTTTTTCTAATTTTATTTTATTCTATCTCCTCTCTTCTTCTCTTCTATTTCTTTTCTCTTTCTCTTTTCTAATCTTATATCTCTCTCTTATTCAAAGCTTAAGAATTTACTTATTCTATTGATAGTTTATATTTTAAATTTGGAGAAAAATATATATTGCAATAGCCCAATTCATTTTCGGAAATCAAGTCTTCATAGTTCTTGAATCCGGTAATATCATTTTAATTTCTAATATTATTTTTGTTTTGTGTCTTATGTTTATTATATTTTTTATTTGCTTTTGTTATAGTGTTTAAAATATTTGTTAGATTTTAATATGTCAACTAGAAAATATGAATTCGGTCATTCAAAACTTAAAAGAAAAAGAAAAGTCGATTGATAAAATCTCAAAAAGGTGCTCTTGATAAATTTTAGAAGTGGTTTGGCTATACTATCGAATGAAAAATAATTATTAGAAGAGATTGACTACACAAAAATTATTAACTTTGCATCTCAAAAAGCTAGAAAAATAGATGTAAAATAAAAACATTTTTAATTTTTTAATTTTTTTTTTTAATGCCTCTAGTTTGATTTTGGCCTTATGCCACCAATGGGTTTGAGCCGCCCCTGAGTCAGTATCCCTTTTAAATTCTGATGTGATTACATCCTTACAATCACATATATCATAAATAGGCTACCTAGCACTGTTCTACATGGATATTCTAAATTTCTTCTTATTTCTATAACATATCCTACTCCTCCATCCTCAATTTTTTCCTTCTATGATCTCCCTTCCTTTGCTTCTCCATCGTTTCTTCCTCCTACAAATTATCTTATAACTCTTTAACCTCCCAACACCTGTTAAACTTCCTCTACTTTCATCGTTTTCTTCTCCTCCTAGAAAGTCTGTTAGACTCTCTAAACTATTCATCTAGTTCATCAATAAAGTCTATCCTTCTTTATCCCTACCTTTTTTGTATGTCCTTCTATTTCTACTTGTTCTTTTTATCATTTCAAAAAGGTGAAAAAGGTGGATGAATCTTGTTCAATCGGTAAATTCATATCAGAAGTAAGTTGCTCTATTGTAGCTACTTTTGTACCTACACCAGTTTGAACAATTGAAATATTGATATTGAGAGATTGGAGATTGGTTGAAACACTTAAAGATGCATATTTGGGGATTCACAGATAAAGATCAGACAATAATCTCACTTTTCTCTTTGAAACGATTCATGTTTTTAATATCATCTTTCTTCTGCTCACCTCTCTTCACATTTCCAAGCTTTTCTTCATCTTCTTTCTTTCAAGATCCTTTTTCTTACTCACAACTACGCCTGAAAGGTGGTTGCCTTGCCTCCTAGCAAAGTCCCGATTGGCTTTAAATGTGTGAAATACCATGTTGATGGTACTTTTGAGAGGTTTAAGACTAGGTTGGAGTCTAAAGGATGCACAGAATAGAAGGAAATCGGTTTTCATTACATTTTTTTTATCTTATGACCAAGATTGTTGTTCTTAAGCATTGGCTTATTTTCAAATGGAAGTCAATAATGCTGTTTTTTTAATAATGATTCTTTGAAGAGAATTACATGTTCTTGCCATGAGGTTTTGGTAGTCATGGAAAATCTAAAGTTAGTTGGCTACTTAAACCCCTATATGGCTTGAAATATGCATCTAGGCAATAGAACTTAATATTGACACAAGTGTTGATGAGCTCTGGCTTCACACAAAGCAAGCATGATTATTCCCTCTTTACAAAGTCCACTAAAATTAACCAATAATGTGTATAATATGAGCTTTCCTACTGATCATGTTGATGAGCTTCTGCAAGACAGAGAAGTCTACTAAAAATTATTAGGCAAATTTTTTGTATTTCACAATTACAAGACGTGATACATTCTATATGTAGTTCAATCCTTAAGTCAATTCATGCATACACCAAAGAAATCTCATTACAAAGTAGCCTTACATGTGGTGAGGTATGTCAAAAGTCAACCAGTGCTTAATCTATTGATGTCTAGAAAGGAAATGAGAAGATTGAGACCTTTTGTGATTTTGATTCGGCTTCATGTCCAATGTCCAAAAAAATATATATCTGATTTTTACATTAAACTAGGCACCTCACTCATTTCTTTGAGGTCTAAGAAACAAAGCATCATTTCAAGGAGTTTTGTTGAAGCAGAATACAAATGCATGACTCAGACAGTTGTAGAACTAACATGGTTGAAGGGGTTACAGCAAGAGTTACATGTAGATGTACAGTTGCCAATGGAGCTGTATGGTGACAACAAGACAATCTTGTAGATAGCAGTCAATTTCATGTACTATGAAAAAACACATAGAGATTGATTATTATTTATTAAGAAAAACTACATTAAGGACTTATCAAGACTGACTACATTGTAAGTAAAGAACATATGGAAAATCAGAGACTAAGAATGAGAAATTTTCTCTTGCTTTCTATTCATTCAGCTGTGATGTTTATATACAAAATACCTAAAGAGAAGAAAACAAAAGTATTCCTATACGTAAATGGAATCTGATTGACTATCACTACAATCCAATTTTGGACAGCTATGTATGTACTATTTTGTACATAATTTGAATAAATCTGTCAAGGGAAATTTGGATTATTTGTTGTCTCATTTCTGCTTCCACTTGGCCCTTTCCTGTTTGTCCAAATAAGCCTCCAAATCAGCTCTTCTAAATGAGCTTGGATGGTCAGGATTAAAACTTATATTGCTTGATCCAAAGGTTGTGAAATTTTCATTTCTTGGGCCACTTGAAGTGTAGACTATCTGAGATTCAAACAACTGATTGTGTTTGTCTCTGATTTTCATTTTATTGTGAAGCTCCATTGCAGTAAGAGCTTGATCAATTATCTCTTCTTCCATGGTTGTTTGTTGTTCTGTATCAACTTTGTTAATTTCAATTCCAACACCCTCTTTCAAGTTGGAGGGGAGTGAAGCAAGACCCAACTTGCTGAGAATTGAATGATGAGATGGTCCCGATAAAGGTTTAGAGAATAAGTCTGCAAGCTGAGAGGTAGAGGGGACGAATTGAAGAGAAATCAAATCGAAAAGGAATTATTGCCGAACAAAATGGAAATCAATTTCTACATGTTTGGTTCGTTCATGAAAAACTAGATTGCGGCTAGGCTATCAAAATGAAGTGGAATCGGAACTGAAGGAGTAGCTCTAAGATCTGTGAGTAATCAAGTGAGCCAAGTGATCTCTGAAATAACTCTTCTC